CACCTCTCGTGTTTCATTTCTTATTTGAGAAATACTAGATGTATGTCAATATTGTTGTGGGCAGATGTGGGAGCGCAGAGAGGAAAGAACACTGTGTGCATTTCAGACAGAGACACACAAAACCTTTGTAACCAGCCTTCATGAACTCTAGCAAGCATACTGCCAGAGACTGCCATTTGTGCATGCATGTATCCGAATCTGGCCAGAGTTTTAAAGTGTCAGAGAAAGGCAACTAGCTCTATTTATTCATATTATAAAGGCACTAATACTTATTTTTATCAAGTAAAAATATTAATGGCAAAATTATTTCTTTGCACTTTCTCAGAACACCTAAACGACTTTCAAAGCTTGAAAAAAGTCCAGCTGCGCAAAACATATACTCTTGCTCTGACTACACTAACTTGGAATTTGTAAGCCTTGCTGTATCCCCAGCAAGGAGACGATTAAACTAGCCAGGAGCAAGCCACCAAGGAAAGGAAAGGATGAAGAGGAACCAGAGGACTGCAATGTCCCTGAGCAGGTCAGAAGAAAATGAATCCCTTCTCTCAGAATCCTAAGATCACTGGAGTTAGGCATCTAAGCAAGTTCATCTTAGGAAGACAGGTTTCCTCAAGAAAATAGGAAATATCTCTAAAACCATTAAGCAGTGAATATTCAAGTCACCGTTCTACTTCTAAGTCGAATAACGTTAACACGAGTGACAGAGAGACTATCGCAATATCCTTGGGATTACAGCATTGCCTTTGCACAAAGACAGCTGCAATATTTTCAAGTCCACATGAACTAGTTCTCATTTAAATGCATGCCCTAGCATCAGTAAAAACATGAGTAAGCACATGTATGCAATGGCTCCTGTAGGTCCCCCTTAACCACCTGCCTTTTACTGGTCTGCTTCCAGCTGTGTTCCAGCTGATAGATATTAGCTCTTAAGCATATGGCTGTGGAGTCAGGCCCTATCACAAATACAGATGTTCCCTTGCCTAAACTGCAGCTCCTGCTTCAGGATCTAAATTAAAGCTATGGCTCCAAACAGCTCAATGGTTTGGGAATACGGAGCAGCATCAATATGGTTGATCAATGTTGACCAACAGTATTTAAGGTTAGGCACTAAGGAAAGTGTCATCTGCAATGAACGGGTAGATTATGTATGGTGCCACCGAGAGTCGTACAGGTGACTAATTTCCTTTGAGTCTGGATACAACAGCCTGAACTCTGTGCTACAAATGTTTTTACTGTGCAGCTTATTACAACATCAAAGCCTAGAGCAGTAGGAAATAACACCACAAATACATAGAAAGAGGAGGAAACGAGAAGAGGAAGGTTACAGCTGTGAAAGTCCAGAAAATATATTTCTTAAAGCATACTCATCTTTTAATTCCTTCTTTAAAGTCCTATGATAAAACTGGATGCAGCAGCCAGAGAAGCGAATGAGGTACATTACTATATGCGATTCCACAGTTAAAGCATGCTACCAAATGGTTTTGTGTCTTTGTAAAATGTAACCTTTATTCTTGGGAAACTCTTCTATAAACTATAACATCTCATATTCATTTTTGATGTTGTTAAAACTGCAATGAGGTTTAACACAGAATTGTATTTTATAACACCAATTAGTTAGTATTTCCAAATTATCACAGTAAAAAGAAACACAGTAGTATATGAATATTTGTATATGACTACCAAAAGTAACAGAGGTCCCTTTAACATCAGTATAGCTGCATAGCAGCAGAACAAGGAAAATGCAGAAAGAGCTAGCATCTTTTTATTTCTGAGGACTTCTGAGCATTCATTACTAAAATTACACATCTGTGATAATTCAAAGTAAGCTTTAAATACCTGACTAGTCTACTGACCATCATACTACACTAAAAATAATGCTTTGTATCATTCAGTTTGGAACTGGTTAGTGCCAATCTTGTAAACATTAACACAAAATCTAATGAGACAATTTATTGCTAAATAATAAAATACTGAGTAGATTATACTGTGCTAAGCACTGCAGAAGCTGATCACTCATTAAAATCATGCAAGCAGATAAGCTAAAACAGTAGCAACTGACATTAGAATGAGAAGTAAAAATAACCAGGGGATGATGCACCAATTTATAAAATACGTTACTGGACTCCTGAAATCCGCTTAATATTTCTCTTTTCGACTATTTTCTCCTCTAATTTAAGAGGAGCTTTCGAGACAGAAATTTGTATTCTGTTAACCACAGCAATGGAAGCCAAAGGCTCATCAACAGCGGAGAGGATTTTAAAGAAGCCTAGTGCAACAGAATCTCTTCTCCCTGCAAGACCACCACAGCATCCGCCGTTT